ATCTAGTTACAGGAGAACAGAGGGAGAATCCAGGATATGGGGCATGCCAAAAGTAGCCGGACTCATAAGGACATGTCTTTATGTGGGTGGAGAAGGAACCAGAGAGACCTGGCTCCCAAATTTGGCTTTGCCATTTATAAGCTGCGTGACCTAGGAAAACTTATTTAACCTTTCTGAATCTTTTTTCCATGCCTATAAAACATGGATAACACCAACGAAAATTGTTGAAGACTAAAAAGAAATAACCAGTGAAACTAAATTAAGAAAATAACCGACGTTTGCTTGATAAACAGTAGATAATTCCTACATAAGTTTCTTTCGTAGTAAACTTCCTTTCCCATCTAAACAGGAGCATATGATAAACCAGAAAAGGAGATTATCTCAAAAAGTGAAGGGATTGATGACTTTCATTATTTTTTCTGTTGGTGCACAAGTAGTTTACATTGTTGGGGAATGTACACTGCCTGCTTTCATTCCTCCAACAATTATTTATGGATACCCTCCCTATAAGAACCTCAGGCTACCCTGTGAAATGGCCAAGAATGATAGCAGTAGAAAACCAAATCAGATTTTGTTCAGCAGAGAGGGGTACTGGACATGGTTGGTCCTGAGCAACACGTCACTGGGCTCTGATCAGAACAAGACCAGGCTGATCAGTTCTACAAGTGGCCCCACAACTTGTCTCCATGACCCCAGGCCTGGGTCACGGCCCATGACTTCAGCCATGCTCACACACAGATAAAACCACTGTCAGCAGCAACATATTTAAAGAACAGCTAACATCCTGTTGTTCTGGGCTGTTTTTCTTCAACTGGTCAAAAAGCTATTCTCATAGCCAGTTGTATCTCACAATGTCAATTTCCTAAGCATATTTAAAGAATTGCTGTTTAAGCATATTATTTCACATGGTAACATGTTTTCACGATCTTGGAAGCCAGTAAAAATTAGACTGTAAAAAATCTGTCTTATTGAGGGAGGCAACAAAAATTCTACAAATTAAAAGTCTTATGATCAACATGATTGCCAAAACCCATATTCTGAAGCCCCACTGATCCAACCAAGCTCAGTCATTTTGACCTGAGTTATTTAACTCACTGGTTCTAGAACTTGGGACAAGATTTCATTTCTCAGGGTTTCAATTTCTATATCTGAACTAATTATTCTCTAAGGTCCTTACCAGGTGTACATATCTAGGAAAAAGCATTAAATGACAAAGTTTCAGGTAGTTTGCATAGGTTCCCAAGTCTACATTTAAACACTAATAGTGCAATGCAGGTATATGTACATATATCATCCTACACAAAATTTGGTTTGAGAAGAACAAACTTGATATCAATACCTGCTGAAAGGCTAACCTATGACTTGCTCACAGCAGGAAATGAAGAAAAGTTAAATATAAAAATAAACAAATAGGATGGGATATTGAAAATACCTGGAAACATACATGGTTGAACATTACAGGTGTTAGAATAGGAAAGAAATCATAGGAGACAAACACTGAGATAGTAAGGGAATGCCCCTGGCAGAGATCCATAAGATGGAAGGACAGAAACAACCACCAAAAGAATATAGTGAACCCTATGTCTGGTCTGTTGGTTTCCCCTAAAAGCACTAATGCTCTGTTTAAGCCAAAAATCTTCTGGGAAGCTTTCAATTCCTGTTTACTCTAAAATAAATGTGGGGGTGGGGGGGGGGAACTAGCTTATTCCTTGTAACTTAAACCCCAGGGGAAGTTAGGAGTCAGTGGGAGGCAGAGACTCACATAAATATACACACGTATACAAAATCATATCTGATGGGATGAGGTTAATGAAGCACACAAAATCCCAGGGCTGACAGGAAGTGGAATTAGAACCACAAAAGCCAAGAAGATAGTCAACAACTTAAAAAACTCCAGATGCACTCAGTTTATTAAAACTGAACACAAATAGGGAGGAAGAAAGGAGATCCATGGCTGATGAAATGGACTTAAGGGGTATTTCACTGAGTCAGAGAAAGTCACAGCTTCTTTCATGTCGGAACATTCTATTAGCATTAAGCTTGATAACGAAGCTCCCAAGCTTTCAAAAAGCAATCAAGTTATAAAACAAAAAAGAAAAGGAAACATTCAGAAAGATTTTATAATTAACTATTCAGAACAAAGATTTTTACAGCAAGGGATATCAGAAATTTACCCTCATATAAGAGCCAAGTAGATGTAGAAAATAAACCTTTATTTATTATTTAAATCTAATGAGATTTTGGAAGTTGGAGTTATGTTCCTAGTCCCAACCCCCCATCCCCATCCTCAAGCAGTTTGCAATAATTCTAAGAGTTCTAGGCCATTACCAAAACAGATCCATTGGGAAGTCTATTGTCAGGTCACCAAAAGGCAATTAAAGCAAGTACCAATTACTCATTCAGCAAGCATTTCCTGAACATCCTCTAAGAGCAAAAGATGCTGACATGCAACTGGGCATGGTGGATACACCTGTAGTCCCAGCTACTAAGGAGGCTGAGGCAGGTGGATCCTCTGAGCCCAGGAATTCAAGGTCAGACTGGGCAACATAGTGAGATCCTAGCTGACTTTAAAAAAAAAAAAAGTGCTGCCACACATGGTAGGGCCAGAACTGATGGAGACATTGTTACTGTCCTCAAGGAGCTTCCAGTCAGCGATAGGAGACAGATACACACATGAATACCAGACACCATGCAGATACTATTGCAAAGTTACCAACAGAGTGCTGGGGGTATAGGGGCAGGGCAGGCTAATTCTGGGAACATTAGAAAAAAAATCACTAAAGAATTGATATTTGACTTCGTCTTGACAGATGTCTGTAATCTGTTACATAAAGTAACGTAAGAAAGGTATTTCAGACACAAGGTAAAACAGGTGCAGAGGCAGTGAGCAAGAAAAGGACCAGGTTTGGTGGCTCATGCCTGTAAGCCCAGTGTTTGGGGAGGCCAAGGCAGGGGGATCAGTTGAGACCATGAGTTCAAGGCTGCAGTGAGCTAAAAAATGATTGTGCCATTGCACTCTAGCCTGGGCAACAACAAGGCCCTGTCTCTAAAACAAAACAAAAAGAATTTAAAAAGGGGATGAGAGAAATGTTGAAAGCTCTGGTTTGGCAGAAATAGGGTGAGATGGGAAGAAGGGACACATTTACTATTAAGAATTCAAGAAAATAAACTTACGAGACTCTGGAGGAAGTATATGTATAAACAAAACATCATGATGTGATAGGAGAAGGGCATGATGGAACAAGCACAGAACAGTACAATGCATAGTGAGATCACGTTTCTACAAAAGTATTTTTTAAAAAAGTAGCCAGACATGGTGGCACATGCTTATAGTCCCAACTACTCAGGAAGCTAAGGCAGGAGGATCACTTGCGCCCAGGAGATGGAGGCTGCAGTGAAATGTGATCATGCCACTGTACTCCACCCTGGGCAACAGAGCAAGACCCTGTCTCAAAAAAAAGAACAGCATGAGGGAGGAGGCAATGTGGAGCTAAACCTTAGAAAAGAAATGAAAGCATGCAAGGCAGAGACAGAAGGAGAGTTTTCGAGCCAAACAGCAGAACTCACACAATGGCCCAAAAGCACAGAGTACTCAGAAGTATAGTATGGTACACTTGGATTATAAGGTACAAGAGGAGAAATGGAATTCTAGAAGAATTACCTGAGTTACCTTAGAAGCCTTTCAGGTCACATCAAGTTTCTATTATACAATTTAAGCCTAGGGAACCCCTTAAGGATTTTAGAAGACATGATAAGATATGGATTTTAAAAAACACATTGCAACCTCTTTTTTTCCCATATAATTTTAGGTCCTGATTTATCTACCATCTTCTATTCAATCTCAACAATTCGCTTTGTTTAGTGCCCCTCAAATATAGGCTGTTATGATAATCTGTTAAAAAGATCAAGAATTATAATGTCTAATTATAAAAATAAAAAATAATTTTTATTGAGTACAATGTAAAGGCCAGACACTGTGTCAAGTGCATGGCATGCATCATCTCATTTGATCTTCATGGTATTCTCAGGAGGTAGACACCATCATTACTGCCATTTTATAGTTGAGGAAACAGGATTAGAGTAACTTGCTGAAAATCACAAAACTAAACAGGGATATACATGGTTACAAACTAAGGCTGTCAGGCTCTAAAACCCATGTTCTTTATTTCCCTGTTATCCTGCCTTCTAAGCAAGCCATGAGTCTCATATATCCTTACCACCTGTATTACTCCACACCACACTTTAATCATCCTCCCCATCAAAGACCCCAGTGTATTTGACTGCCTAACACCGCCAAAAGCCTATGTGACTTTAAAGACATTCACACTGGCAATCACAAACCCGTTCATTTCCACATAGGAAGCAACGTCCACAGGCACCCTCAGTGCTACCATCACAGCTAGTAGGTCAGTAGGTAACATCTCTTGATCCAGTAGTTGTGAACTGAACTGTTTATTCCTACTCTGTGCAGCCAGGGAGTTGGAGGTGGAGTAGAAGAAGAGGAGAAGAGGAAGAGAAAGAAAAGAAAGTGGAAGAGGATGGGGAGAAAGAGAGGAGGGGGAGGAACCCACTAGAAAAAAAGATTCAAACAAAAAGGAGGAGTCATCGGAAAATGGGAGAAAGCACATACTGGTACCAGCCAGAGCTTCTTGGAACTGTTCCCAGTCTGGCTGCCAAGGAGCTCTGGAATATATTTGTTAGAGTTGGATTCCTGTACAGTCCGTTGCAGACTTTTTTCTGACTACATTCTGACAAAGACCAACACTTTCGTTCCAATCCCTGCTTCCCACAGAAAGCTAGTTATTCCTCGGGGGACTTCCGACCAAGCTCACTATTGGCCTCTTAGTAGGCTCTTCATATGCTACATGAGCTTAGAAAGAAACGAAGTCCATCATATACCCTTACTGCTATAGAATCACTAAGCCTCTCTACCCCAGAATCCCATCCAACTTCCCAAGACACTCTTCATAAAACATGTTAAGCTTCTTGAGTTTCCTTACCAAAACAACTGCTGCGATGAGGAACAAAGGTTTTACAGGCAGTAGCAATAGCTAGTTCAGCAGAGATTATAGTCTTAATGATCAGGTCTTCCACATGGGCCATCAATGCTGAAAAAAAAAATTTTAATTTCAGACTCAATACCAAAATACATGGATTAGCAGGAACTGGATTCCAGGTAACAATATAATTATAAAAGCATGTGTGCACATTCAAAAAAGTCTCTATATGGCAGACTTCTGAATGGGTGCGATGGAGGCAGGCATATCTGTAAACAGATCAGCACAGTCAAGAATAGGTGCCAAGGGATACCCTCAGGTGGCCTCTCATGACAAAAGACGGACATACAATGGAAGAGGAGCCTCACTTCCCGTCTCACACTTCCCCTATGACCCTTTCCCTTGTGAATGGAGACAGTCTCTTTTGGAATGCAGTTTCCCATTCTGCTCAAGGCTCAGCAGTTGTGTCCATTTTGATCTGAAGCCCTGTGCTCAAACAGTGCCCATTCTCCAAGGCAGCAACATGAATGAGAGAGATTAACTTAGAAAACTCAAAACTTGGGGCCAATATGAAGACAAGCAATTTGTTATATAAAAAGCTGACAGTATTTTAGCAGCAGTTCAACATTCAAGAAGGGTAAATTCACTAAGGATTAAAGGAGAAAGTTATGCCTTTCGGACCAGAAACATTACAACAGGGATTTGGGGGGTAATGGAAAACCTGTTCCCCAGCTTATCAACTGCAGGAAAGAGTAACACCAAAGACAATCATCCCATCTCAGCAACACTATCAAAGTAAGAGAAAATGATTCCTGGCAAGAGACAATGATAAAGTTACCCAAAGAAGAGAAGTCAAGAAGGAAAAAGGCCCAGTGCTCACCGGTTGTATCTCGGCCTTCTTGTTTCAGGTACCTAAGCATAGCACTCATACTCCATTTGTTTCCATAATCCTCCACTTCCGGATCATCACAACTAAAACAAATTAATGAATCAAAGTCACATAATGTAACTAGGCTTGCTATAATAACAAGATTCTTTGCAGTCTTCTTATCAAGTTTTTTTTTTTTTAATTTATTTTGCTGACTTCCACTTACTTTTACTTGATCCTTTCTGTCATGTGTCCCTTCATACCCATTTCTTCAATGGAAATGAAAATGCAATAGTTTGCCTTTTTTCAAGAGGGTGGAGAAGAGGAAGGCAAATTCTTTCTTAACTAAACAATTAAGCATCAAGAAAGGGTGGAAGCAATGTGTGAAGGAAGGTAAACAAATCTAAGAATGGTTACAATAAATTAACAGAAATGTTTGGGGACAGAGACCTAACCTTTGTGGCGAATGTCACCTGAGTCCACAAAACAACCTCTGACACCATTTTCAGAACAGAACTGAGTTGGGATGGGTGAGTGAGCTAATCTAGTGCAGCATGCTAATGAACTAACCCCACATAGACTTGCTTTGGCATCTGAAGAAGGCTCCCTCCTTTTTGGAAGTAGATACAGCTTTTCTTGATATTTTCTGAGGTATCACTGAAGGGAGAGTGCACTGGAGTGACAGTAAAGAGTGAGGAGGTACACTACTGCTATGGCAGCAGAATGGCAAATGGCACAGCCTCCCATGAATGCTGCAAGAGCCCTGCAATCTGCAACCTGTGTTTTGCAGCTGTCCCCTCACTCCCTACCACCATCCCACTCTCCACCAGTTGTGCCTTTCCTCATCTTTCACAATGAAGGTATGATCTCTTCAATCAGTTCGAACGCTGCTCACAGGATATTTGATGAAACCTACATAGCTTCGGTAACCAGTAACTATTCTATCACTTCCAGATTCCTTTCTTTCTTTCCTTGGACCTGGTAGGAACCTAATTTTAGTCGGAGTAGATAGTAACCGTTTGGGTTTCTTTTCTACTTTTCCACTTTCTGGCAAAATTATCGGGATGAAAGAAAACAGAGCAAAAAGAGTATTTCCACACAACTGGGCTGGTACTCCCTTCTACTGAATCCTTTTCTGGGATGGCGTCATTTCTTTCTTTAATTTTTTCCTTTATTTTTTCTTGATTTCTAGTATGTATTTTAGAAAAATTCAGAAAATACATAATAGTACAGAGAAGAAAATAAAAATCACCCACTCACAATCCTACCCACTATGGTTAAGCTAAGTTAACACTTCGGGATTAATTCTGGTCTTTTTTTCCCTACGCCCTCAGCAAAAATAAGCAGCTTTAGATATCTCATATATTCAAGCAAGAAATTAAGTTGCATGTGCTATCTTCTGGTAACCTGCTTTTTCCACCTACAAATATACAACAGTGAACATTCTTATCACTGATCCTGCATGTACATCTTTTATTTCTTAAGATAAGTTCCTAGATATGGAATTGAGGGAGGGGTGGCAGGGTCAAAGGGTACAGACATTTTTAAGCTATTGACAGGTTTGCCACGCACTGAAATGACCTCATTTCTTAAGTACTAAAATGTTCCATAGGCCCATTAAATTCCCATCCCTAAGTCAAGTGAGGGAAGACAATGAGGAAGAAAAACTTGTGAAGGCATATTTTGATAGAGAAAGGTGACACCGTTAACTGGGGAGGCAATGGAGAAGCAGCAGGAGATATGCCTCAACACTATATGACTGACAGCTTTGCATAAATGTTACATGGACATTAATGTAAAGTTATCCTCCAGTGCCACATACTACCCTTCCACGTCTACAACACCCACATCTGAGACTGGCACCTCTGACATCTGGCTCAGACACAGCCAGTACCTGACGTAGTCTCCACTCTTCTTGTTCACACTGTAGTTTGTCAGATGCATGAACTGATTCCGAATGTTCTTGGCTCCTTGATCATATCGCACAGTTGCAAACCTGATAGAAGGGAAACAGGTTAAATGCCAGGAACAGAGTTTCAAGGAAATACAGGCTGGAACAGAGGATCAACGAGATAATAATAAAGGAGGGGAACATCATTATCTAACAAATACTGAGTGCTTACTTAACTAACTTCCATGCTAAATGTTTTATAATGTCACACTTAATTCAATTCTTAAAGCAACCCTATGAAGTAGATAATATTGTCTCCAAGTTGAAAAATAGATGCAAAAACTAAATGTGACCTATTAAGTAACTTGTTCAAGATCACACCAACTCCAAAACCCATACTTAATCACAACAAGACGCTGCTTCTCTTATATAGAACATTACACCAACAGGAAGAACGAAAATTAAAAATACAGCTATTTACAACGTGGGAAACTGTGTGTAGGACACTGTGAAAGACGGGGCATTCACTGGTCAAGAAATAGCAACTGGCTGGGCATGGTGGCTCATGCCTGTAATCTCAGCACTTTGGGAAATTGAGGCAGGAAAATTGCTTGAGCCCAGGAGTTTGAGACCAGCATAGGCAACATAGCAAGACCCTCTCTCTTCAAAAAATTAAAAAGTTAAGCAGGCATGGTGGTGTGTGCCTATAGTCCCAGCTACTTGGGAGGCTAAGGCAGGAAGACTGTTTGAGCCCAGGAGACAGAAGCTGCAGTGAGCTGTGATCACACCACTACACTCCAGCCTGGGCAACAGAAACACCTACTGAGGGCCCACACAGTGCCTGGTACTATAGCATTCAAGGAAAAAAAAAATACTTAAGCAGAAAGAAAAACGGACAGCACAGCTATATATAGGCTTAGAGCTCACATCCATAAACTAGAACTGAGCCGTAATGCTCATTTAAAAAGAATAAATAATGACAGCATGAACAGCAGACAAAGCAAAACAGCAAAAAGTATGGGCACAGTGCAAGAGACTTAGTCCTGAATCTGGAATGAAGGCAAAAGAAAGAGGAATTAAACATGGATCCCACCGAAAACAGGGTAGCAATTTGATATCCTGGACCATTGTCAAAAGAAGACCAAAGTATAAAATATATATGCCTCTAAAGGAAGTAACCAGGGAAAGAGAAAACTTTCCAGTGATGCTCAATATCAACAAAAGGACACTCAAGGCGAATGGTTATGGTAAATATCAACCCCTGTTTACATACCATTGTAACCATATCACCCTTCACTACAGTGGTTTTCCCAAGAGGCAGATCCAAGTGTGTGAAAATAAAAAAGAAGGCCACAAGTTTATTTTCATATGATTAACAAATTATTTACATATGCTTACTCAGACTATGAAGTCAACATGAATTTTTACCACATTAAAGGTCAGCATTTAAAAATTTTCCTCTTCTCTGTTTCTTCTCACCCACCCACTATCTCCACTCCCTAATTCCCTGTACCAGGAATATATAAGAGCCAAAGAAAGAAAAGTGAAAAGAAGGAAAAAAAAAAACCCAAACCCAAAAAAGTGAAATAAACAAACATGGGGCTAGGAAAAAGGATGTGGACAAAGAGAAAATGATCACCAGACTGAAAGACAATAGTTTGATGAGCATTACATCTATGCTTGAGAAGGACCCCAGATTTTCTAGAAACTTCCAGTAGTTATCACTTAACTTCTGGCCATGTCATACCCCAGTGCCCTGGTGAGTAAACCCTTGCCTATGCATCACAATCTTCCTCCGACAGATTGTCCAAGCAAGAGGAAGACAGTCATTCTCTGAATTCTTGTGAGATACGAAGGGGGCCCATGCTGCCCCCACAGAGGCTGCCTGCCTCAGCCAGACATTATCTCAAGGTGACATCCCTCCTGCCATCCTCTCCCCTCAAAGAATAATGAGTTAGAAGGCAGGGAAAGCTTCTGCCTCAGAAAAAGAGGCTTTTTATCTCTTGTAGTTACTACAAGTACCTGATCTAACTCGGTCAACACGAAAAGCCTGACAAAAGTCTGTGGTGAGTTGGAATCTGGTGCCAACACATTTGTCATTCCTATACTCTTTTATTCAAGAGGGCAGCACACCTAAAAAAAAAAGTCATGTTTCTTCTTCCTAATCTTCCTTTTCACTGGAGCATTTTATTCTGAACCCCAGCAAGGATAAGATTACTAATATCAATGTGTGGAATTCTAAATTGAGTGTAAGAAGCAGAAGGAAGCAAAAATTAAAGTAAAACAAAAAAGCTTCAAGGAAAAGTTCCCCTGGTGGGTGAAAGTGCTCCACCCCATATCTCCCTTAGTCTAGTGGGGAACATACACCATGTAGAGAAAAGGTGTGTGCGCTCATCTTTCCTCCTACCCCAGTACGAGCATATAGCTCACACTGAAATCCATATTAAATAAGCCATCATCATCATCTGATCACTATTTTCTCCTTTATTGTCTAGACCAGAGGTCACACTAGTCTTGAATCTGACCTACTGGTCAAGTTCTGATTAACCTACAAAAGCTTTTTTATTTTTTCTTTTAAACCTCAATTACCTGAACAACATATAAAAATCAGACCTTCCTTCTTGCAGCCCAGTGGTAGCCAGGGCCCACATGAGGAAGATGATGAGTAACAAAACAGAAAAACAAAAAAAGAAAGATGGTGAGTAGGATGGTAAGTCAGCCAGAAGCAGATGGAGGTTTTCTAAGCAGGGTGGCCACCTAATCGGGGTCTAAATCCATACAAAAAGGGCATCTGAGTGGGACAGTGGCCCGGTAGGGTCAGGAAACTGGCTACATACAAAGGAATTGAGCAAATAAATAAATATGTTAAAGATATCAGGAGCCAGATTTCCTGCTGTTGGAGAAGAGATTTTAAAATATGAAAAGTGAAAAACGAGAAGGAACTCTGTAGTTTTGAACCAGAATTGTGGGTACCTGTATGAACTTCCGCTTTTCAACACAGAGACAGATATAGAAATACAGGTGTACATGTGTGTATGTACATATATACATATACATAATTTCCTAAGTCTGTTCACTGCCAGGATCTGAAGCAGAGATGCTCCAGAACAATGAGCATATCTAGCACCCAGATACTGATTTCTAAATACTATACTCCACAAAAAAGCAACCAGTGCTCCTTGGAGACATGGTTGATTCCAGGGCCAGAATACAGAAAGAACAAGATGAGCCTGAAACATCTTGTGCTCGAAGAATGATGAAGACATGTCAAAAGGACACAAAGCCAGCTTGAGAGAGCTCCTGTTGGCCAAATCTGGGACAATTTGCACATCAAAATAAATCGTGATAGTAAAGAATTATAACCCATTAAATATAATCGGAATGCTTCAGTCTGTATTGGTATAAATAAACAGATGAATAAATAAATGAGAAGAGAAAGTTCTTATAGAAAAAATGCCAAAAAATAAAAGTTATGACAGAATTAGAAAATCAGCATTTGGCAGCTCTTATAGCAATAATTCATTAAGGCAAGAAAAAGCAATAGATTTTTATTAAAAATGAGAAATGAGATGAAGAATGAAATTTTACATGATTTAAAGTATCTCCTTTTAAAATACTAATTACAAAGGGTAAGACAATATAAATTTACAGTGGAAGAATCTAATAGATACCACCTAAAACAAGTGGTCAAACGCCACTAAATGACTAGCATGTGCCATCAGATATAATGCAATGAGAAGAATTAGTATCACTTTTGTGGTATTCTGGCCCCAAATGCATTACCTAGGTCTCTTCATGAGAAAACATCAGACAGGCCCACATTGAGGGACAATCCACAAAACGATCGGCTGTCAGCTTCAAAAATGTTGAGGTCACGGAAGTCAAGGAAAGACTAAGGAACTGTTTCAGACTGAAAGAGACTAAAGAGGCCTGACAGCTAAACATAATGTGATCCTTGATTGGATCCCTCTGTAATTAAAAAAAAATTATTAGGACAATTGGCAGAATTGGAATGAGATCTCTAGACAAAGAGTAAAAGACCATTTTCATACAATTCTTACAGCTTTTAAACTCTGTAAGTTCAAAATGGTTTCAAAATAAAAAGTCTAAAAAAAGCGGTTTGTTTCACAGTAAAAATCTACATGTTCAAGCCTCACTTAAAAAACCAGGTCTGGCAATACCAGTACTAATCACTGGCACTAAATAGGAAATGCCTTTAGATGGACATGTACTCTCCATTCTCGTCTCTACTCTTGCTTCAGTGAATGTACTTGTGAGCATTTCTGTTTGTGACCTTTGATTTAGACCACCACGTATTATCAAATTTCATCTTCTTTACATCTGACGTTTCAACGCAATTTGTCTATTAACAACCTAAAGGGGACTTTTTTTTTACTAGGTACCCCAGGACCAACTTTGCACATACAACCATTTGTCACTTAACAATGGGGTTATGTTCTGAGGAATGCATTTTGATAGGCCAATTTCATCGTTGTGTGAACATCACAGAGTGCACGGACCAAACCTGGATAGTATGGCCCACTATACCCCTATATAGTATAGCCTCTTGCTCCTAGGCTACAAACCGGTACAGCATTGTACTATACTGAATAGTGAAGGCAACTGAAACACAATGGTAAGTATTTGTGTATCTAAAAATAGAAAAAGTAATACATTGTGTTATGATGTTACAATGTCACTAGGCAACGAAATTTTTCAGCTCCATTACAATCTTATGGGATTACCATAGTCTATGTGGTCCTTCTTTGACCCACTGTTATGCTGCACACGACTACATGACTGCACTTATCCTAATGAAGGCCAAAATTTACATGATTGAGTCTTGAGTCTCCCTCTTAATGAGATCAAGATTTAGGAGAGTTCTCACGACAGACCTTTCAGGCCTTGACTTTCAAACTAAGAAAAGGTGGAAGAGGGCCGGGCACAGTGGCTCAAGCCTGTAATCCCAGCACTGTGGGAGGCCGAGGCGGGTGGATCACGAGGTCAAGAGAT